ACGCAGTTTGTTATGGAGGGGCAGCCTACGGTACTGATGTGTCAAGTCAGCGATCCGAGTCAAGAGATCGTGTGGTTGAAAGATAGAAGGCCACTCAAAGAGACGGCTCGGTTGCAGTTGGAGAACACGGGGGATGGTTGGAGCCGAGTGGTATTCTCGCATACGCGGATGTCCGATCAGGGAACATACTTTGCGTATCTCGGTGAACAGAGCGTCGCTATCACACTCGTAGTTGAAGGTAAGTACCATTCCCAACAGGATGGACCTTTTTTGCTTGCATGGCATGTTTTGTTTAGAACGTATCGACGAAAAAGAGGTAACAGTGGTCGCATCGGGCACTGAGAGTGAGGACGAGGACGTGCAGGAGTATCTGATGCCACCGGGCAGTACAGCCACGATCGCCTGTGAACTGGAGGACGGTGACCACGTGCCCAGCCTTGTATGGCTGAAAAATGGCCATGAAATCACTTTCACAAATCCGAATAAAATGGAGCACGTAGTGAACGGCCTCAAGCACTATCTAGTCATTCACGACACTTCTCCTAAAGACACTGGGCTCTATAGTGTGTCGATATCGAACACAGAGTTTCGAGTGGCACATTTGGCTGTTAATGACCTGGCCACAGTATCTCAGAACCTCCGTAGAAAACGTATCTCGAATAGTTCATTGCACTAATGCTCATCTTATTGTTTTACGCTTGCGCTTAGATCGTTGTATCAGAAATGTACGAGGTTCCGAGATGCCCGTTTGAGACTACTTTTATACTCGGCGAATTCGCTGCCAGCTGTCTATAATAGATTGTTTGCTGCCTCACTTCGCTCTGCCCCTCAGCGTTGCCGCCGCTCTCTGCCTCACACATTTCCACTTGAGCATTACCTCTTTTGTAGCATGATTATCCATCTCAAACGACTTCTAGCCAGAAGCAGCTGACGGCAATATTCGCCGAGTATAAAAGCAATATAAGGGATCTCTTCAAATTGTACATATCCATAAATATTGTTATTTGTTGGACAGCACTAACATTGTGCTTCGTTACTAACCTGCTCAATGGATTTTATTTTTTTTTCATAAAAGTCATGAAGCTTATTGATTTTGTTGCTCGATGTTCACATAAAAACGAGTTCCACATAAAGACTCTGGGTTTTAAAATTCGAAATAAAATAAGAATAATGGCGCTGTTCAGCTGAAGAGCCTACTGAAGAGACGTGCGTTCCGGCGGGTGCCATTGCGACGATAAACTGTGAAACGCTTACCGAGCAGTTAAATATTGAATGGAAAAAGGTTTGTTTTGGATAATTCTAAGAGCTGATGGGCAATCAAGTCGTGCTATAGACCACATAACAAATAAACAATGCTCCCAATCCAACAATCGAAGCAAAGGGACATGGCGTTAATATGCTGATAGGATTTGATGAAATGTCCATAACCCACTAATGAAGAAGGCGACTTCGAAAACGAAATTTGGAAAGCAAAGGGAATATGATAAAAGACCAAAATGACGTTAAGATGTAAGACGTTTAGGTGTAAGACATCGGGTCCGGTATCTTCCCCTCGAGGGTATGGGCACATTCACCCAGAACTGGATGGACGCAGCAAATTGCGCGGCGAAATTCGTGGTGATTAAAAAGGCTTTAGCGCTTATCATTGGGGCATGAGCTCCAGGTAGATTGGATAAGTAGGGCCAGCTGATGCTACTTATCTACTCCACTTCAAATTTATGCCCCAATGATGCCAAAGTCGTTTAAATCACCATGAAATTCGCCGCGAGGTTTGCCGCGTCCATCCAATTCTGGGTGAATGATCCCTCCCCCTTCTAAACTGATGACAAAAATCTCCAGTAGGGTGGTTAGGTCGGATTCGTGATGCTGTTGCCGAATAAGCCAACATTATTCGTTGGATAGGCTCCTCATGCAGAAAAACCATGGCTACTCATTCTTGACAAGTACTCCTATCCACCCTCAAGATGGAATGACTCATCGACTAAAATATTAGGAACTTTGACGAAAGAAACATTTTTGTGAATACGCGCGTTCCTGATTTTCGAAGCTTACGGCTCCATTTCGAAGGTGGTGCCATAATGCCATTTGTTTGAGTGCTAATTATGCTAGTATCATAAGCAGGCATCAAATCAGCCGCTTGGGAAGAAAAGTCGTCGATTCCTTACAGAATCTTCTCCCTCTCTCTCTTATAATGATGTAAATTAATGAAGGAGTCGTACTTCTCTTCGTGTGAGTTTGCCACCATGTAGCCAATACCAGTGATGAATTAGAACTCCAAGAGGGAATGCTACAAATCCACAAACAGCAGTTGAGATCCTTGCTAGTGAATCAACGAACAAAACTGGAAATCAAAATTATCTTGCCATTTGGTATGGTTCACACATTCAAAAAGAAAATACAGGGCATATCATCTTAATTTGTTCTTAAGTTTGACGCATTATCAATGAGCGATAACTTCGGAAATTAGAAAAAAAAACAAAATTTCCGTATGACTTTCCTGACTCTACTTTTACCACAATTTTAAGAGTGGACAGAATATCAATGATGAACTGATGGAGAATCGATTCAAAAGCAGCTCATTCTTTTGGTTCGATTGACAGAATTAAAGGAAGCAATGTTATGAATTTAGTTTGTTAAAGATACAATGTCCACCCTAATTATTCAAAAAAACACGAAAAAAACGCGGGTTCGCGTTTTTCGTGTTTCTCGTCTTTTCTTTGTAACTATTTGAGTTTTCACTCTTTCCATATATAATGTCAATAGTCCAACTCAGCTCAAGGAGCTCTATAAAATGGTGTACTGAAAAATGGAAAAGTTGAAATTTGAAGTCCTCGATCCATCAATGTTCCTGGGGGCACCGCACTAACAGCGACGCTCGCTATAATCATAACCAGAAGGCATTCTCCTCTATTGAAAGTATTCAGGGAGTTGAAGAGCAGCGATCATAATCCAAAACTGAACAAAAAGTTAAACTTTGCATTCCTCATGTTTTACTAATGTCCATTTTCTCTTGCATTGCAGGCGACATCGTGCTCCCAAGGGAAGCACGATGTCGCCTGCAATGCAAGATTAAATGGGCATTCAAAATGAGATTTGTGTGCGTAAGAGATGTATTAGCTCGATGCACATATTTTTCCCCGACATTTTTCTTAATATATCAATAGCGAACCAGCGTGGAGACTAGAGGTATGCACTGCTCGACGGCAACGCAGGCAGCTTCTCGATTCCATCCTCCCAAAAGGCGGAGGTCGGGACTTAAAGAAGTCGGTTGCCTTCCCGACCTCATCCTCGATTTCGAATTTGTGGAAATTGTGTGGTATTGTGACCTGCATACGCAGTGTAGATGAGTGATAGCTAATGTTATGGAAGGGTATCATGCCCACGTCACGCACATGTGATGACGATATATCAACATTCATGTAAACGAAATGCGGAAGGATCAAACACGGTGGAAAAATTGTGACCATTAACCTAGTATTCTCTAGTGCTGTC